CTTCCTAAAGAACTAATATTTTAAGGAAAATAAAACACACTTTAGATAGAATGATTTTGGAAAGAATTTACCTTTATAAGACATATCATTGAGAATATGCTGATGTTATATAGGATTCAGGAAATCGCACTTTAATGAATAGACTCGAAAACTTTCAGTTGGACGCTGCTCGTATTGTTACCAGTGGAACTAAACTCACACATACTTCAATGTTATATAAAGAAATTACGATGAAGTGTAAAAAAATGTGAATCGTTCTCTGTATTTAAGAAACATATTCGTAATTCAAACGATTGAGTTCCTTTATACTTTTATTCTGGATGTGGCAAAGGTCAAATTCTTCACTCGAGATTATGAATGAATAGTAGTTCTTTAATCTGTCTTTTGTTTCCAAGAAATTTTGTTGCTTCCCAACTCTATCGCGTGCTGACTTGCAAACTAATTCGAATTTGTTATTCATTCTTTTTTTGCCCCTTATATGCAGACTTAAGACAAGAAATCATAATGTTATTTTGAAGCCAAGAATGAACTGTAACAATTGGACACTGAATTACTAAAAAATGGCTGATTTTAAACAAAGAAAACATTTGTTTATTTCTTATTGTAAAAAGGTTCATTATTAAATCTAAAACGCTAACAAACTAATAATTTACACAATACATGAAAGCATTTCATCTTAATGATTGCATTTTTAATTTTTTTTTTTTTTCAGTTTAAGCAATGGATGTGAAGTTAGCGGCCGGTTCGTTATTCGTTATTCGATATTCAATATAAAACCGGCTGCTAGCAGTCGGTTCGATACTTAAATTTCTTAGTTGAAAATAATAGAAATTTAAATATTTGATAACATTAAAAGCATGATAGTCATAGTAAAAAGGAGTAAAACGATATGTAGGAAATCGTTTTAAGATCCCTTCAAGTTGTCTTGAAGTCTCGTTGTATACAAATATAAACCATTATGTAAATCGCACGTTTGTCGTATGAAATATAGATTTTAATCAATAAAATGCAACCAAATATGTACTTTTATAATGATATTTCTTGAAAAACAAAAACAAACGATCACTCTAGTAACATTGAATAAATTAATTGTAAATATAAATAATTATGGAAATCCAAAAAAAAAAAAAAAAGATATTGTCACATTTCAGCTAAAATTCGTCGAAAATTCAAGTAAAAGGGCACAGGGCGATGGCTAGACCTCCCTGATCTCTCCATCTTCATATTATTTTGCAGAAAGTGACTCAGAGTTAATATAAAGATACAAATGACACTAAAAGGCATAATGAAGATTGAGAGATCAGGAAGATCTACCCAAAGCCCTGTGCCCTTCATCCTGAATTTTTGACGATTTTTATTTGAAAAGTGACACTTTAAGCCCTCCGTTCATATCAAAGATGACATTTTTCTGGGAAATCCTTTTAATAGCATCTGCATATATACAAAGTCTACAATAGTATTCAATTATGTGGATATTGAAAGACAGGGGGTCTCACTGTTTTATCAGCGGTCTCCGGTAGGTTTTCACTATAAATTTTGAATATCAAACTGGCACTTTGAGCCCTCCATAAACTTAGAAGACGAAAAATTTACCCAAATTCCTTTTGATGTCATTTAAATTATATATTAAATATCTATATGCATAATATTATGAAGATTGAGAGATCAGGAAGATCTAGCCAACCCCTTAGCATTCGTTCCTGGAAATAGCTGAATATTTAGTCATTTGAAAATATCTTTTTTTTGGCTTTCATAGTTGTTTCTATTTAGATTTTTAAATCTAAAATAGAGGGGTCGTTTCTTTTTGTTTCTTGAAATACCATCTTTTAAATGTTCATTCTTGATTATATTCTATTGATAAAAAGATAGGTCATAAATAGAATTATTGATTTATATAAGGGTTTATATTTGATAACTAGAATTGGTCACAAAAAAGATTTCCTATTTCTCTTAATTGTTACAGCTATTAACTAATAACTATCATGCTTTGAATGTTGTCGAATGTTTAATTTTTTATTATATTCAACTTAGAAAATTTGAACATCGAACCGACTGCTAGGAGCCGGTTGGATATTGAATATCGAATAGCGAATAACGAACCGGCTACTAACCTCACATACATGTTTAATCATGAAACTTAACTGACATTTTCAATATTTCTATTTTGTAACAGAGCATTTAGTTTTGATTTATTTTTGAATGTCGTATCCAATTCAACAAGAAGCCAGATTTATATAAGCACTTGTTGCTTCTTTTTGAATCCTATTTGCCACAATATAAATTTTTATTTTATAAGATGTATATAATTTCATAATAAGATATTGTTTACACTAACCTTACACACGTAGAAATTTATGCCTTGTAAACTTGGTATCGTTCGCTTTGTTTCTTCCAAAAAAGTTTAATGAACTGATGTAAAATCATTCCAAATAATATGTGTATACTTATCATAGACAGAGGAAGATGACTCTTAGTAATTTAGTTGCAATTATCCTAGGAAAAGGGGGTCAACTTTATGCCATTGTCTTCTACACTTTAATTCTAGGACAGATGACCTCAGGTGAATATTTCAACTTATTGATACAACAAAATAGACGGCATCAGGTTATTTTGTTGAACCTGTCCAAACGATGGGGCAACCAAAGGACATGTTCTCTTACAACATTATACAAAGGCGAATAGCTTATCAAGTTCATGGGAAATAAAGGAGTTGACATTCTGGTCAGTGTGTTCTTTATGGATATACAAAGAGGGATAACCTACGGTCATTGTTTTCGGTATTTATAGGCAAAGGGGATTTCATAATATCAGGTTATTTTGTTAAACTGGTTCTAGTGAACGGGATGACCTACGGACATATTCTTTTACAAGGATATACACAGACGAATACCCTGTCATGTACATTTTAAATACAGGAGATAACCTCTGATCTGTGTGTTCTTCATTGATATACAAAGAGGGATAACCTAAGGTCGTTGTTTTCCGCACTCATAAGCAACGGGAATTTAAAAAGGTTCAGCAGTATTTAACAAATTAAATGTTCACGTGTTTTATTCGGTGACGTTTGCCTTGGGTCATGGCTGACCTGAGGTCATTTTTTTCGGGACGTATCGAGAACGTGATTTCCAATCACTGTGCTTTCAACCATCGTAAATCAAACATATATATAAATAACATACACTTGAAAAATTGTTAAGCGCAATACATGCTCAAAAGTGCTTCGCAGTAATATCATGAATAAGTAATTAGTCTACATTCACCCAATTTACAAAGTTTCAAAATGGGCACCCTATCAGCCGGAATTGACACTTCAGACACTTTACTGTCATCATCACAAATTGTTTGAACGATACGATAGATCTGCCTCTCATTTTACTTGCGACTTGTAAAGTCATCTCATCTGTAAAAGCAACTAATTGGTTTTACGTGACATTTCTTTAAAAACTACTTTGCTTCTCATCTCGACGCTTTGTTTCTACTCTACATACAGAGTCTTGTAATGAATAATAAAACGAAGCTAGCAATATGTCGAGTCCGAACACTGTGATGGGTTTTTTTCCATTTTGATTCTGGTAAATCTGATTTTTTACTGGTAGGAAATATTGTAAATATGTTTCCAACAACAATAAGGAAATAAATTGTAAAATATGACAAACGTAACCAATATCAACTCATAAGGTCACATGTACTTTTAAAGATGAATTTCCTATTGCAAAATCTAAAGTTCCCATAGAAAAATCAAAGTTAACATGGATAAATTAAGTTTTTATTGGAACGGTTGTAAAGCTTTGTTCCTATTGGGACTTTTCCTGTTCGCTTCGGAACTGAAGTACATCCATGGGAAAATAAAAGAGATGCATGTATAAAAGAATTATTATTTTTAAATATCCAAAGTTTTTTTGCTAATATATATCCATCTTTTCTATTTCATTATTTATTTTAAACATGTTAAGACAAAAAGGTTTTTTTTTTTAATTTGATTAATTTAAAAAAATAATAAGACCAACTACAAAATGTACAAAAGAAAAAACACAAAATGGCTCCCATGTTTTCATATAGTCAAGTCATTAAACGATTTATCAAAGTTTGATTTACTTCATAGTTATCTTTTCACATTTTAATTCAGTTTCTTGTTTTAACGAAACATTGCATCAAATTAAATGCTTTTAATATTCTATTTTAAAGCTTTTCCCACCATGACCATACCACATTAATTTGAGAGTTAGAAAGATTAAAAATTTAAAATAAGTTCCATCTTGCAAAATATATCGATGGCCTACCACAGGTCTTGAACCTAAACATAGCCGTCGCTATCAATCGTTTTGACTTTTCTTTAAAAAGTTTGATCGGAATTACGCATCGGTTGTCACTAGTGAAGAACGAACCGTATACTTACATAGCATCGGTGTTTGTGTATTGTGGCCAGTCGTCTGATTTATTTTTGTCACACTCTTTACAATACAAATAACCAAACCTTAACACATATTGAACAAACATCATTTATTCATTTATGCATACTACATCTCTGCTGCCTCCTTGAATTCCTCAATTTTTGTGTTTATGTTCTGTACTAGTGCATTTAGTTCCGTAAATGATTTGCTTTTCTTTTTATTACGAGATAGTTCAATAAGCAGTTTATGGATAGTTAATTCATAAAATCTAATCTTGAGTGGAATTTCTTTTTCAAAAATTCGATCTATCACCTTGTCATATTCAGTTCCAAAATTCTCTTCAAAACTACTTCGGATTTGTTCATATGTAAATGTAGAAAGCCATTTGTCATAAACTGCTATAGCTATATTTTCTTTTACAAGCCGGTCGTAAAAGTCACGTACATCTGGTAAAGCCCAAAAATATCTAAAAGCTTCAATTAAACTTATTCCATTGCTCATCATAGTCACGCGTAATGCAGATCGCGTAAAAACGGTAAACGAAACATCATGAATTAATCTGGCGAAACCAGTTATATCTTGCTCAATGTTATGAATAATCAATTGAACCTCTGACAGAATATTTTTCATTTCATATTGGATCTCTTGAATTACCATGAACACATCTTCACCCTCACACCATCTATTTATTCCCATATTTATTCTAGTAATCACTTCCTCGCCCAATGAATCAAATCGAACTGAGCTGATACATTTCCTTCCTGGAGGATTCAAAATTTCTGTTCTGCCAATATCTGACTTTAAATAGTTAGAAAGTTGTTCTGCTAACTTGGTTATCACTTTGGTTTTGTATTCTTTTGCTTCCATCATTTTCTAAACAAAAAAGATTTTAATATACATTGTAAATTATTGTTTATTGAATAGTAATTTTCATCTTAAAACTACAGAACACAAACATTCTGATACGATCCAATTTTTTAATTTATTTCCAATAAGAATTGTACAAATGTAGTAAGCTTTTTTGGTAATATTAAGACAAAGATAGAAAGAGTACACTGAAAATAACCAAAATTTATCATCAATCAAGTGAATCAGTGAAGATCTTATCGGAATATGACAGTTGCACGACTAAAAGTGTATAAGAAGTAAGCAATACTGACTTTTCCGCTGACAAGTTATGTTAATTTAAAAATACGATTTGCGTTTACTTTAAATGTAGGGGATTAAACGCCGACAATGTATGCCTATATCTTTATGCTAGAGCCACCCGCCATATGATGCACATACGATTTCATTGTTAAGAAAAGTTACATCATTTGTTCTTTCATAGAATTCCCAAAGTTAATAATTGGATTAATTTAAATTACTTTTACAATTTATTTATTTTACAGTTAAAGTGCATTATCGGTGTACACCTTAAGCTTAATACTCGGATACTATTATTTCGATAAATGTCACCGGTGAAATTATATTCGATCTGGGCTTTAGCTTTCAATCACTTTATTTATTTCACACCTCAAGAAGCGTCATACCACTTTGATTTAATGCTAAAAATTAAAGATATCGCTCTTGTCAATTGTTAAAGACATATATCATTGCACATTTTAAGTTTGTATAATATACAAATTTAGATTTTAACATCTCTAATTAAAGGTGAAATAAGAATATAATGCACTTTTCTACTATTAGTATTTGGTACATCGCCGTAATGCATAAATCGTAACAATTGAAATAACTTGATACCATAGAACGAACTAGTCATGCATACTATAAATGTTATTTCATTTGAGGAGAAAGCAACTCTCAACATTATGTTGTCAACATTAAGAAACCAGAAAGGTAATTCGTTTGGATGAAGGTCAAAATAATTTGGAGTATATAACGCTTTTTAGCTGAAAGTAAAAAAAAAAGAGTGTGCGCTTATGACACTCTTCGGCCTTAGAAAATATGGTATTAAAAGATAAAGTGATGTTGGCTAAATTATAATTGTGTAATATATATATATATATATATATATATATATGTTATATTCATAGTTACTCTAAATATCAGCACAACAATGTCAAATCTGCAAATTTACGGAAGCAAATTTTTGTTCTTCCCTTGCCGGGATTCGAACTCATGCTATTGGGATATCGAGACAGCACCGCCTGCACTGTGTCCATCGCTCTAGACCAATCGGCCACCTAGAAAACTGATAATTCAGCTTTCGGTAGCCTAGTGTTACCTTTCCTCGTCAGTAGAATTTACAGTTGTAATACAGCGCCTGCTTATGGAGTATTATATATCCCCCATAGTCTTAGTATTTTGATTATTGCACTTTTTGAAAGTGCGTTGTGTGCGTTAACAAAGATTGGAGATGAATACGCTGAATTAAATGCTGTTACTGAATACCACAAGGTCCTACTTTGTATTGGATCCCTAAATTGTACTATAATTATAAGGTACATTTCTTTTTTGCAACTTATAAGTGTTAAAAAAATATTGACTGGTTCTCTGACGATTAGCAATATGATATTTAGTAAATGTTAGTTTAATAGCTTTCTTTATAGGTTTTAACACATAACGGTAGCTACTCTCATATGAAGTTCTGTTAATATCCGTTGACAGTTATCTTTTCTTTAAAACTCACCAAAGATATCAAACATATAACGTGGTACGCCAGACACAGGTTTCGTCTATATAACACTCACCGGTGGCTCTTGAATCGAACAGTTAAAAGGCCAAATAAATACGAAGTTAAAGAGCATTTACAACAACAAAAAAACGAAAAACAGATTGTTTTTGCGTTCATTAGTTATCGCCACATATTCGAAAAATGATATGGACCAATAACAGAAATGCCATTTTACAGATTTAACCATTATATTTCTCAATGGAATGTCACTTTTAAAAATGTAAAGGATATTATTGGGTATGTGAGATTAGGGCTTTTTATTGGGTGTGTGTGATTGTTTGCTTAGTTTCTTCACATTTATTTCCGCTATTATAAAAGAATTATCTGAGAATCTGGTTTTAATGTCAACAAATATATAATTTTGAGAGTAGTAGGATACTTTAGAAAAATGTTTGCATATCGCAATGTCAGAAGTAAAAACTGCACAGTAAATTTATACACAGTCTAAACTATTGTATTTTTTCTCAAAATTGATAAAGGAAATTGAAAAAAAAATGAATATCCAATAAAGAGAAAAGACTCATATTCATGTTGAGTTGATAATCCTTCTGTACGTGCCATAAAATTTGAATTCTTGAGGTACCAATAGAAATACTTGATTTCAAATTTGCAGCAAGGGCTTCGAAAGTATTATGCATATTGTTGTTTTTATTTATTCTTTTCACCCATCCTTACATAAGTCATGTCCATCCACCCGTCCTTCTTTTAGGTTAAAGATCTTGTTATTGGTAGTTCATCATGACATTAACTTGAAACTTAGTTCATATGTGTATTGTTATGTAAACTTTTTCACTAATATGTTCCAAAATAGGGTTTTCGTGGTTTCACTGCAAAAGGAAAAATTGAATAAATGTTGTATGTTGTTTTTGTTGACTGTTGCCTTCAATCAGGAGGCTTACGAATTGAGTCAATTAGGTGTTATCATGTCTGTTAGTCTGACCCTTGGTTAATTTCCTTGTCATTACTTGAAAACAATACAAAAGATTAAATTGAAATTTGCTGATGTGATCATTGAACATAGCTGAAATAAAATGTGGTGTATTTACTTTTTCACACGATGCAAGTTTGTTATTAACATAGGATACATATGATATATCCATTGTTGGAAATTTGTGTTGTGTGTAAGAGTATATGGATTTATCTACAGATATTTAAATTATAAACTTTCACAGCTATAAGAATTAACTTATATTTATTATCTAATGTTTGCTTGATCGTATCAAAAATTTGGATGGAGTGTGATTATTTTTTAGGAATGTATTGTGCATGATATATGAAAAAAACTATACAAATAGTGTTAACAATGCACGACATGGTGGTTTAAAGATATTGGAGACTTCTTTTAAAATGCAGAAGATATTCCTCAATGTTATGTTGTCTATGTTAGAGAATAAAATAAACTCTAGAATACATTTACACAAATGCGTTTTAAGAACGCCATATTGCGTGATTAGATAAAATGTTTCGGTGTTGTATATTGCTTGACTTGGTTTTTAGAGTCTTCTTTTGTAGCTCATTAGGCCCAAAGGCAACATGAGATATTTCAATCGATTTTGTCCGCCGTCGTCTTATACTCCCACAAAAATCTCCTCTAAAAATTTGTGGCTAATTGGAACAAATCCAAATCTTTTTTGAAAATTTTTTGGATGATCATTCTTACCAACCGACTTTACAATTCTTTAAATTTGGTTGAAGAATCGACCTTTCATTATCCATGGCCTCTGTTTATTAAAACAGAACATATTTTTCTGTATTGTTGTACGTCAAAGAGAAATGACAATTTTTCTTTCGTTTTTTTTTCGCAAAATATTTATGAAATATACGGCCATACAATGGAATGAACTGTTTGAAATGATTATGATTGTGATAACTGCTTCCCTCAGTCATATTTAGAAACACATGATATTAACATGTATAAAGCACAAAAATACAAGGCCAGTCATCTAAGTTAAATTGTGTGGAATATAGTTTAATACCCTTTGCCTTAAAGTGCTAAAAATGGACCTTAAGTGACCCCCCTCTGTATTCAAATGATGAACACACGGACCAATGATCATGTCTTTATTTATCATGTATAGAACTAAAAATTTGGCGGAAGAAAAAAAAAATAATAACACTTAAAAGCCAATTGTTCTCCTAACAGTTGAAGGTCATTCACATGATATTAGATATAGACTAAATGTGTTTGATGAGAGATATAAAACAAAAAGGTAAAAATAAACACTTAAGGTATGCAAAACAGGTCACCTAAACATCGATTTAAAAAAATATGGTTTCTATGTCCGTTCACTTGAGTAAAAAGGATATGTTATACAGATTTGAAAGAAAAGTATTTGGTTGCTATGGATTTCTCTGTAAAATAAAGGAGATAATCTGGCACTTCCGTTTTACAGAAAGTCACAACCTACGTCATTAGATAGCTCACTTTTTCACAGAAGTAAAACATTATGGTATCAATATATACTTTTGCTAACGAGAAAAAAGATAATTTGCTACTTCCGGTTAAAAAGATATCACTTCCGGTTTCATATTTAAGCTTTCTTTGCACTGGTTCCAAAATTATATAGTTTCTATGTACTTTCATTTGAAATTAAGGATAAAATCAGCAACTTCCGGCTTACAGAAGGTCATCTCGGCTGCAATAAGATAGCTTACGGTACACAGATTCTGGAAATATATGGTTATTATATACTATTCTTGCAAAAAGGGAAGATAATTCAATTTAGCTACTTCCGGTGTACAAAAGGTTATTACCGGTTTCATTTAAAGGTAACTGTATGCTGATTCTAAAAATAAATGATTTTTATTTTTCATTTCAATAAGTGCAGAAAATTGCTACTTCTGACGGCAAAAGGTCACTTTCGATGGATATTTTTCAAGGTCATTTGTTTCCCAACCTTTTTTTTTAAAGATCCCATGACTTTATTATGTACCAGTGTGGAATAAAAATTAATCAACCTCAAATTTCACAAATTTAGGGGCGATTACTCATATAAAAGGTCACCATATCGCTTTTGACCGTATGTATCTTTTTTTATATCAAAAACCCAAACAATTGGCATCAGTTCTTTTGTATCTACCTTTTATAGTTTGAGAGGAGATGCACACACACAAGCAAACTTCCCTTTATTATAATGTTTACGCATAAACAGTTGAGGTCAAGGCCCTACAAACATGACAAAGGGTGCTAACATTTGAACTTCGAAAAAAAGGAGACTTGGTTTTGAAATCACATATGACTGTTTAATAATGCTACGGTAACCTTTCTATTTAAATAAGCTTATTCGTCATAATTTGTTGATTTAAGACGTTCAATAATATGTCCCGGCTTCAAATCCATCACTGCTCGGAAATCCATCACTGCTTGGAAATCCAACACTGCTCGGAAAGCGGCAATTAACAAAAAAAACCTACAAAAAAGCTCCATTATATGCCAATTTTGTCTACTATCGCATATCCCCTGTATAAACCTATCCGGGTTTTCGCCAGGTCTAGTCTTATTCCCTTTTCAATTCATGTTTCAACTCAAACCCTAACAAATATATTGTGTTACTTCCTTCTATTCTGAAGTGCTGTTATAGCTTATCATTGCTGAAGTCCCTTTTCAGAGGATCTAAACATCCAAAACCTTTCATACTTTGAAAAAAAACCAATTTGTGCATGACTACAGCAGCCATATTGGATATTTTGATTGTATAATTAAAACTTTATACACCATAATGAGGTGAATGAGATTAAATGACAGTTTAAGCATTTTAAATACAAAGTTAACCCTATCGAAAAGTTAAACACCGCTTCAAACTGACGACCATTTCAAGAACAGACTTCAGGTTATTTCCCTTGATTGACAAGTATTAGTATAGCATAATGACATGAAGTCATCACTCTTTGTATATCAATATAGAAGCGTGTAATACCCTCTGTATAGGATTACAGAATGACCTGCGGTAATCTTCCAAAGTAATTCAATGTAGAGGAATATATTAATCTAGGCCATCGTTCTAGGTCTAGGATAAGTTATGTAGCCCCTTTTAATGGTAGAAAATAACACATTACCGAAGATCATCCTCCTTTTAACTTAATGGTAATCATTGTTTAATCATCACTTTGGTGATTTGATTTTATGAATACAAAGTTATCATAATCAAAATGTATGACATCGGACCATTGTGTTATACATAAAGATACAAAAGGTGATTACATGGGTTATTGTATTCAATAATATTATACAAATGAAACAGGCCTTGTTGGTTTTTGGGATTTTTTTTTTTTTTTTGCGTTTTATAGTAATACCACCATTGATGTTCTCCTTTTAACCTTTGTTAATTTGGCACTTTTCAAAACGTTATGCAGAATTTATCTTTGTTTCAAATAAAGAAATACTTGGCATGAGTAATGTTTTATCCTGTCCAGTACTACAGTGAAAATTTCACATAACATTTTATTGCATTTAAATAATAACCACCACTGGAAGTAAACCAATCAAATTTACCTCCTTTTTTCCTGTCAACAAGCTTACAAGAAAACCGACATGGTTAAAAAATACCAATAATTACATCATTGCTAACGCAATTCTATATTAATATTCTTGTTATGGTTAGAAAATACATAAAATAAAACCATTACAAACTTAATCCCAATTTTATATTCTATCTTTAGAAATTTACCTGTGACGTCACTTTTTGTGGCGTTGATACATTCGTGTGACGCACAATTCATAACCATATTGTGTTGTAAATGGGGGGTGTCCTTTGTTATTTTGTGGATTACATGTTGTAATTTACTATTATATTATTTATTTATGTATTTCTCTGTCCTGAGTGTTCTTGCGTTTAGTTGTATTGTATTCCTGTCACGTAATGTTGTCATTTTAGCTGTATTTTTAATATTGCCCTATAAGCGGGAGGTTTGGCTAACCATAAAACCAGGTTCAACCCACCATGTTTTCTTAAAATGTCCTATACCAAGTCAGGAATATGGCAGTTGTTATCAAATAGTCCGTTTCTATGTATGTTGGCGTTTGTTTTTGTTCCGTTGTTTTCCTCTTATAGTTGATGTGTTTCCCTCGGTTTTGGTTTTTGACCCGGATTTGTTTCAGTTACATTGATTTATGACTTCTGAACAGCGGTATACTACTGTTGCCTTTATTTAGTAACCATGTCACCTGAAGTTTCCAAAATAATTTATAGAAACAGCAAATATAAAAAAATGGTGCTTTTAAACACCCAAAATATGTGTTAATTACTCAGAATTTTTTTTTCTGCAATGAGATGCAGAGTTAATTTCCTACAACTATCAAAATCAAGGGAATATTTTTTGTCGGTCCTTTTTCGTATGAAACCGGATGTGACGTACTATGATTTGGTGGTATTACACCTACACATGTATCATATTACGGATTTTAATTTTCTAACTTTTTGGACGGAGGTAGAAAAGTGCTGCTGATCCGATACTTTGAAATAACATGAGAACTGAAAAATGTATTTCCCACGATTTAATATGTTGTTTCGCATCATAATATGAAGTTCAAGCTAGATTTTGACAATGTTCAATATGTAGTTTAGGATTTATAGCCCCATCTTCGCTTGCCAAGGGTTACGATTGAGTCCCCTCCTCTCCACTCTTGGTAGATTGAGCCAATATTTGTGATTACAATGCTGCGCCTTCTACCGGTAGACAAAAGTCACGCCCATTCAAACTACACCATTCTCGACCAATGGCAGCACTTGAACTCTCTTCAGTGTAGAGGTGCACAATGGTTATGTCTAGTGTTTACAATTTTCATGAAGCAGGAACCGAAAATATACGTTGCCATTCCAACATTTGCTCAAGAAACATACCCAGGAACTTCAATTTGTTGATTTAGAACTTTAAATTTGTCACTAAATATCGTCTTATGTTTTGGGGTAAATACTTGTTGCACATGGCAATTGTTTATTTACATTTTCTACATTTACACGTGATCATCTTAAAGGAGCTTTTTGTTTGGATGCAGCCAGTTACAACTGCGACCAATGGAAATTATTACCTCGTGGATCCCAAATTCTACCTTAATCCGTCAAGGAAGGAGAGGAGGTGACTGGGTTTTACTGTAAAATTTGCGTACTGCTGTCAACCATCTTTAATACCAAACTTAAAACTTTGATGTTCTTCAAAGGAAAATTATGTCCAGCTGGTATAAATTGATTTAGACATGTAAGATGTAATCGTAAAAGTAGAATGAGTTGTTTACTTTACGTCCCATGGTTAATACTTAGGAAGATCGTGAACAATTGAAGTCAGAAGCAAATCATTTAAATCAGAGGCATTTTACGTTTACAAAAAAATTCAATTTGCTTTGTATATCATATTTGATATTTCCAAAAAGAACATGCAAGACGTACAAATGGTGACTGATAAATACTGCGACCTAAAACCAATACTTAGTACCTGGTGTGATACTCTCTCCAAATGTCTTAATGTTTCTTTATTCTTTAAAATAGTTTTCTTTCGGTCGTCGTCGGATATTTCAAGTAGATGTTTTCGTGAAGCAATTCCCATTTCTGCATTAACAGCAAATCTCTGTACGAATCTGAAGTAGAAGAATGTAATGTTTACTAACTCAATGTCATATTTCAAAGAATACAATTATATTTTTCATTCATAGAATATCGAGTAGAATTATTGATTCATGATGTTAATATCACAAAATAGATTTGCAATTTATAAATTATCTTGTTAAAATGTATCTCAACCCACTGTTATCTAATTAATGAGTTTAAATTCGACTGCAGAAGAAAATAGCTAATGCTCGAAAAAAATAACTGGAAATTTACACAAGAAAAGACACTGTATGATTTATTGACCAGAGTAAAAAAGAGACAGAAGTACTATTTTAAGTATTTCCTATCATGATTTCCTTGATAGAGGGTTGCTGCTTACAAGGAAGCTATTAAACCAAGAGTTCCAAATGGTGAAGTTGAAATCATCCCTTCGTAAATTTTACGGACGCCATCTCAAGTTGGTTGACCGTTATGGAATAGCCGTTTCACAGATAATATCGGATATGTTCCTTATGTAGTAATTACAATCGACTTCCTTTTTCACCACGAATGTGACCTACCGAATTCCCCCAAACGTGTCTATTTCCCCTAAACATGTCCTTCAAATCGTAAATCGCACAAACGTGTCCGATTTCACATCCCCATTCGTGTCCGATAATTGTTATTCGCCAAAACGTGTCCAGATGAAAACGATAGAACGTCTCAAAACAGATTATATCGGATATGTTCCTTATGTCGTAACTACAATCCCCTTCCCTTTTCACGAATGTGACCTACCGAACAAGACTATTTACCGGGTTTGTAATAACATGAGCAACACGACGGGTGCCACATGTGAAGCAGGATCTACTTACCCTTCCGGAGCACCTGAGATCACCCCCATTTTTCGGTGGGGTTCGTGTTGCTTAGTCTTTAGTTTTCTATGTTGTGTCTTGTTTACTATTAATTGTCTATTTGTCTTTTTATTTTTTTGGCCATGGCGTTGTCGGTTTTTTTTCGAACTGTGAGTTTGACTGTCCCTCTGGTATCTTTCACCCTTCTTCTTTTAAGATTGATATACACCGAAATAGTCAAAACCAGTATACAAAAAATACCCTTGGGACCAAACAAAACTTACTGTAAGAGAGGCGACATTTGCATTAAGGCTTAAAATCTTACAGCAAAACAAGAAGAGGATGATCTTTATAGCAGGTTGGACAATAGATCCGACCTTGTAATATATTTCATCTTATATCACGATACTGTTCATTTAGCACTTAGATTAAATGATTAAGGGTACCAAAAAGAGTATCAATCGTAACCTTTATTCTATGAAAATGAATATTTATATTATGATGAGTGAACATCACGATGAGTGCTACTAGTGGGATAAAACCTACTTAACATTCTGGGGTCCTTAAGTTGAATAATGCTTTTCCGTTTGGTTCAGTGTTGCTGAATCTTTAATATTCTAAGTTAGAATGTGCTATTTTTCTGTTCGTCTTTTTTCAATTGTCTATTGTGTTGTTTTTTGTTATTTGTTTTTGCTAATGGTTAAAGATTGCTTCCTTGAAAATTCAACGTGAACAGATAGATCTCGGATGAGAGATTTGTTTTAGAAATCAATAGTCTATCTATCATTTTTTTTATGTTCATATCAATGGAGAGAAGGACGGTGTTGTGACTTTCTAGAATATCCTTTTTCGTTTATGATATAAGGGTATGTGTGAATTTCAAGATCTTTGTTTTTGCATTTTGAATATTTATTGTGCATATAAAGACATCATTGTTTGATTTTTTTGTCTGCTTTGTGTAAAAAGGAGAAAGAGACCGCACACTGTGGATTCTTTAAGAAGAGTTAGACACCCATGAAATCACGATCGAAGTAGTTTGTGAATACGCTTCTCAATCATTCATATTTCGAATCGATATGATGATGCTGCACAAATAGGAAAGAATCACAATGCAAAGAGTTATTCAATGATACGGATAAGAGAAAAAAATAAGATAGATAAATAAAAACATCAACAAAACAAAGGACCATCGTCATAAAAAAAAAAACGTTAACATTAAACCATTCCATAGACAACAGCCATATAATGTAGAAGAAAGCAAAGACAGGGAAAGAAAACAGAAAATCAGAAAAAAAAAATTAATTGATTTTACTGTGAGCCTTCCCCGTTTGAAGTTAAGAGGGGCCTTTTTATGGTATTTTAATTTTCTAAGACCTAATTTTGACCACAATCTCCATGACCAAAAGAGAAAAACATATTGGAAAGCAAAGAGACATGAAGTTTTTATTATTTTAGTAGGTTTGTTATCTATTTTTCTGTTGTTTTGTTTGTTTTTGTTTTTTGTTTTCTCTTTTTTATTTTTGATATTTTGTTGGGTTTTTATTGGGGGTTGGGGGGGGGGTCTTAATATAAGATTAATTTTCTTTTTTTCCCTTTTTTGTCATTCCATAAGGTTCACGTTTAACAATGTAATACATCTCCAAAGTAAAAAACAAAATGCGAATTCGAAGTTTTATTCAAACCAGTATTTTGTTTCAAAATATCGTTTAATCAAACAGAATAGTTCTTCGCAAACAGAAATCCGTTCATTCACATATGTCTATTCTTTTTTATGAACAAACGCAATAAACAACTACTTTACCTGAAATAATATTCTACACGTTTGTTTTTGTTTCTTTCGATGGTTTCGCTGAGCATTAACAGAAACTTTTTAAATTGTCTTGTAAAAGGAGTTTTTTTACGTTTTCTAACCTACAAAAGAAAAACATACATATTTGGTTTCCGCACATCGTGAATTGAAGTGTCCAAGGAACTTTAAGCTCTCGGCAACCAGAACAAATATGCATCATTACAAGCATCAGCAATTATAGCATTTATCTATTTTTTTTTTAAATTCGAGTATGATTGTATTCAGTATATTTAATCTTTTATTTCGTATTTGAATGGTCGAAATTCAATCAAAGTCTTATATATGTACATGTCAACTTGACTTGCATAAAGGCGATTTCTATCCGACTCATCTCTGTCCTGTTTTTTCCTGAAACCGTATTTTGCCCTCTAGGTGTAGTTTGATTAGTTCGTTCTTTGAGTTGTAGTTTTATTAGGTATACCCCACATCTCCATTTCTTTTTATTGCAATTATTAAAAATAAAACCCCATTAAAGAATTAAATGTCATTTTTATCGTCGGTTAACTTAAAAGACCTCGTCGTTTTAATATTTTCCGGTGTGTATATTTTCTCTTTACCTTTTAAATTTAAACAGTGGCAGCTTAGTTTGCAAATGTAGGTAAAAATTGTCATTTCAGGAACCTAACTTTACTTACAATTTTTGTCATATACAGCAGACATTGTAGATTTTGAAAAGTGCTGCTGCTGGTCATTCGTATGTAAGTTGATATGACCGAGCATTTTGAACATACGACAAATAAGTAATTTAGGTGTGCATCTTGTTATTGATAGTGATTTTTTTTAAACATTTCATTTCTATAATTGCAGATCATAACGTAATGAAAAAAATAAAGTAACAAAAATACCGAACTCCAAGGAAAATTTAAAACAAAAAAATCCCCTATCAAATGGCAAAATCAAAATGTCAAACACATCAAACGAATGGAAATAACTGTCATATTCCTGAATTTTAAGCGTAGATTTTTATGGCAATATTTACTATAATAATTTTCAATGCTCTATGCTGTTCATATACATGTCTGATATGTTCTACATAAATGATATTTTACATATCAGTTTCAAATAGTTGTAACATAAAGGTTCTAATTACTAAAAGAAGAACAATACAAGTTATGTACCTGTTCTAAACTGATTTTAAATAAACGATCAGTATTGAGACCTGGCCAACTTTCTTCTAATTTTCTTTGAATTTGGTTCCATGTCCTCGTGTGTGTGTCTTCGTCTTCTCCATTTTTTTTAATATTTTTTATGATATCCCATTGATTTGTCAAGAATATAACTTCGTCAGGCTCAAAACATGGCATTTCCTTTCGTTTTTCAATCACGGTCTTCAAAATTTGTAAAAGCTGAAATATGCATTTTTACTTTTATATATAAGAGTTTAAGGAAGACAACCAACCAGCAAATATTTTAGATATCACATAAATGTTTCAATACTTCGTATATATTATCTTGTATCCGTACCTTGCAAAGATTTTCGTCCCCGAGGGTATTATCAACCTCGTATCCAGTACTTACTGTTTGATTGAAATTCGCTGTTTTAAAATCAGTGAAATGTAGGAATTATTCTCCCCCTTGAAGATTTCTTATTTTTTGTGCGGATTTGGCTTTACTTTCTTGTTTAATCAGCTCTTCAGCGTCAGTATAAAGTCTTGGATCATGAAATATTTTGTCTTCGAGCATCACTGGAGAGAAATAAATTGTCAAATGCCATCTTTACAGTCGCATTGGTTCCGTCTATGTTATTAAGACTTGAAAAAGTGAGATATTGAAAGATTGATGTTTGCTAACGTTGAGAATATTTCATTTATGTTCAGGACAAGAACAAATTAACAATAAAAACAACAGATAGTTCCTGTAATAGAGGCCGTCAGTGATGAAGGTCGGATAAATCTGAACTGCCAAGGGTAAATAAACTGGGATTATAAAATGTTGTACGCCAGACGCGCGTTTCGTCTACAAAAGACTCATTAGTGACGCTAAAATAAAACAGTTAAAAAGGCCAAATAAATAACGAAGTTGAAGAGCATTAGCAAGGATTTAATGCTGAAGAGAGAGAGAGAGAGAGAGAGAGAGAGAGAGAGAGAGAGAGAGAGAGAGAGAATATTCAAAAGGTGTCAGATCCCTGACGAGCATATACAAGTATGAAAACAATCATACATGTATGTGTTCCGGATCACTCATACGCGTATGGTCGGACCATATGAGTATAATACTCGTTTTGTTATTAACGGGCCTGACCATATGAGTATTTTGACCATATAAGATATGTATAAGAAACGTTTTAATAATACAATAATCTTTACTTGACAAAAAAACCCCAAAAAAATAACGGAAAGTAAAAGAAATAAGCTATGAAGAGGTACAGAACGAATTAAAAATAAAATGCTTCGCCGAGAACAGCCTGATACGACCACAGAGGTCGAACCCTGAACAGTTGGGGCATGAAATATTTTGTCTTCGAGCATCACTGGAGAGAAATAAATTGTCAAATGCCATCTTTACAGTCGCATTGGTTCCGTCTATGTTATTAAGACTTGAAAAGTGAGATATTGAAAGATTGATGTTTGCCAAGTTTGAGAATATTTCATTTATGTTCAGGACAAGAACAAATTAACAATAAAAACAACAGATAGTTCCTGTAATAGAGGCCGTCAGTGATGAAGGTCGGATAAATCTGAACTGCCAAGGGTAAATAAACTTTTGATTATAAAATGTTGTACGCCAGACGCGCGTTTCGTCTACAAAAGACTCATTAGTGACGCTAAAATAAAACAGTTAAAAAGGCCAAATAAATAACGAAGTTGAAGAGCATTAGCAAGGATTTAATGCTGAAGAGAGAGAGAGAGAGAGAGAGAGAGAGAGAGAGAGAGAGAGAGAGAGAGAGAGAATATTCAAAAGGTGTCAGATCCCTGACGAGCATATACAAGTATGAAAACAATCATACATGTATGTGTTCCGGATCACTCATACGCGTATGGTCGGACCATATGAGTATAATACTCGTTTTGTTATTAACGGGCCTGACCATATGAGTATTTTGACCATATAAGATATGTATAAGAAACGTTTTAATAATACAATAATCTTTACTTGACAAAAAAAACCCAAAAAAATAACGGAAAGTAAAAGAAATAAGCTATGAAGAGGTGCAGAACGAATTAAAAATAAAATGCTTCGCCGAGAACAGCCTGATACGACCACAGAGGTCGAACCCTGAACAGTTAGGGCAAGTTTGGACACAATATTCAAGCTTGATACTGTCTGAATTTGGATTGTGATCAAATTTTTGACATAATATAGGTTTCTTACACAAAATAAATATGGTCAAAGATCTTAAAAATTTCAAATGAGACATTTAATTCACCTAGTATGGTCTGATATCCCAAATCTAACAACAAGGTTAGATTCAGCATATGAAAAAACACAAAAGATTTAATTTTAGTTGAATTCCAACAAAGTTTAATTGTGGGCCCTTCAAACGTTAATATGGACTAATTTGAAAACAGGGCCCAAAATAAAAAAATCTAAATGCACATAGTCAATAAGATTCAGCATATCATAGAGCCGCAATAATTCAGTTTTTGATGAAAAAAACCAAAGTTTAATCTTGGACCCTTTGGAAAAAACACAAACAAATTATGAAAAAAAATCCCCCCCCCCGAAAATTTTTTGGGAAAAAATTTGAAATTTTGAAAAACCTTGAGGGATAAAAGTATGAACCTCCCCGAAAATTTTTAAATTTGAAGATTATTTTCTTTTCAGGATGAATGTACAATTTCAGAAAGTTCCATAAACTTTAACACAATTTATTGTCAGGAAACTAGAAAAATGCTTGTTTTTTGGCCCCTTTTTTGCTCCTAATTTCTAAACCTTTGGGGCAATTACCCCTACACTCAACCCCAGCATTCCCTTTGTGGCATGGAACCTCTTTTTTATTGATAAGAACATAACTTGAAGCATATGAGTAGGATATAAGTGTTTTTGTACCACTATTATAAATTATGAGATGCGACGGTTGTAAGTAAAAAAAACACACTTATATGATAAGATATTTTTATTCCAATTAAAGGGCAATGAAGAGCTAAGTAATTTATAACAATGATTTTAATACTTGACACAAATAGTTTTGATAATCATCTATGAACATGAATATAACCAACAAAATTGTAATATATATAGGATATAGCATTGGAAACAAAATTCAGATTATTGCACTGCTAATGCTATTTATATGAAGTTTCAAAAGTATGCAAAGCTGAAATGCGTATAATTCCAACCTCTTGCGTTGGAACACAAAGCTCATTATTCAAGCCCAAAAATGGCACAAGTTACAAGCTCTATCTTTCACATATTGTCTAAATCTGGATGTGTTTGCTTTCTTGTCTTTTCTAGTACCAATTGTTAGACTCTTTATCCAGGCAGTTAGTCAATGACAAATCGGTAATGACTTTTATAAAATATGTTTACTATGATTTTAACTAGTGAGTAAAATTCACTGGGTTAAACTGCTTCTCTTTATTTAATTAATCTTGTAATGATTATAATTTAATCAAATAACCCTAAATTTCCTTTTGAAAGCGTCTTTTTTAATGCGTTACAACTAGAAGGGTCATACCTTATAAAGAGTTCACTATTAAAAGTCAACGTGCTAATTACCCGGACCATACGCGTATGGTCGGACCATATAAGAATATACCCATATGGTCATGACCATATGTGTATGGTTCAAATACTCATATAGTTAGGAACACATGCATAATAAGTTCTAATAGAATAGAAGAGGGCCTCCGTAAATTTATTTCCGCAATGTACATATACAAATAGATCAGCATAACTGTACATGTTGCCTTATAAATTTAAGCAATTTAATAATCATAAACGCAAATTGTTTTGACGCACGAATTGTGTCGTTGCAAAACAATGCAATTGGTAGCGAGTCTTCTAATCTTAATCTCTACATTACATCATATTCGAAACGATTTGACTGGACAGTGATAGGGAAGACATGTAAATATATTTAGAATGATTTGTCTCTGGCGGCCATGGTTATTTTCACATATGACCAAAACTACACATGTTCATATATGACCTTCGATGTATTGTTCCTACCTGCTCAAAACCTGTCTTATAATAGATTGTAAACATTGTCTAATGGTTATTAAAGACTCTCTTTCGTCATATTGTAAACATTTGCGTAAACGAAAACAATCTGTTAAAAAATCTCTTGATTCTTAGTTCAATGCATGTATGAATATTTAGGATATTCGAATATCAAATTTAAAAAAAACAAAATTAAATAAAAGGACACATAATACGCCTATTTCTAGATAAGTCGCAAAATGCAAGTACTCCCAAAGCGGTTTCTGTTCGTACCAGCCGAAAAGCAGCTCACATTGTGGTGTTGTTATGAAGTAAATACTACAAGGAAGTTCTTGAGAATGAAATTAAATAAAGGCAACAGTAGTATACCGGTGTTCAAAAGTCACAAATCGATTGAGAGAAAACAAATCCGGGTTACAAACTAAAACCGAGAAAAACATATCAACTATTACAGGAAAACAAATTTTCAACAGAAATACTGAAGTGCAACAAAACCAAACGCCAACATACATAGAAACGAACTATTTGATAAAAACTGCAATATTCCTGACTTGTTACAGGACATTTTAAGACAAAATGGTGGGTTGAACCTGGTTTAATGGCTAGCCAAACCTCCCGCTTTATGACAACAAATCTTCTACATTCAGGTCCATGCGCTCCGCAGAGAGTCGCATATTACATATGTATTGCATTACCACATCTCAGCGTAAGGCCTCTTCTGAACATTTGAAGATCCCATCAATGCATTGGTTACCTAAACTACACATATGAAAAGGTAAAATATCATTTCATCTCGACCTGTAGTAAGTGTTCTACAACTAATAGTTCAGTAGTTTTATGTAATTCCTTTACTACTATTAAAAACTTATCATTAAATTTTGTAACAAACAGATAAAATTGTGGAATTAACTATTTTTGAAGTGTGAAAAATTCTTTGATTTTAGATAAAATACATAATGATAAAGGCTCATCCATTGAACAGCTTAAAATTTCACCAGATCGCATAAACCAAAATGCAAAATCTACAATCATTCTTTGTGGCGACTTTAATCTTGGTCACATAAACTTGGATATTCCATGCACCATCCCTAGCAAACCAGACATCAAGCTCCATGAACAACTGCTTAACATCATAAATGAACATTCACTTGAGAAGATTGTAAAAAAAACCACAAGGTGGAGGCAGAACACTTGATCTTATATTCACCAACATACCAAGCATAGTCAACAAAGTGGAGACTATGCCACCTATCGGGAATGAAGACCATGGTATCGTCTATGCAGAATGTGCACTATCTCTAACCCGAAACGCAACAAAAAAATGACAAGAAAAACCTACCAGTATAAAAAAGCTAACTGGGAAAAAATCAAGCAAGATGAATCTGAACAAACTCACACAAGAAATCAAAGGTCATTACCACAGTTCATCTACCGATGATCTGTGGAATACATTAAAAGAAATGCTACTTCAATCAGTCAAGAAAAAAACATCCCCCCTCAGAAGACAATCACAAACAAGAGAAAACTACATTGGGTTGATAACACCTTAAACATCATGATAAACAAAGGTACTACATCATAAACAAAACGACTACATAAAAAGAGCAAAAACAGTCAAGATCAAATGAAAAAATACAAAAACTTAAAAAGAAAATTACAAAAAGAAATACGTAATGGCTCCTGGAATTACATCGAAAAAATGATATTTGACCTACCAGTAGAAGAACCAGACGACAACTTCAGACAAAAACAACCTAAGAACTTGTTTACATACATTAAAAGTATGAAAAATGACCATTCCTTCACTTAGAAAAGATGGTAAACTAACTGATAACACATCTGATAAAGCCAACATCCTAAATAGTCAGTTTCAAAAAGCATTCTCCGATGAGACATCAAGTAAACCCATACCGGATAAAGGTAAATCAAACTGTCCAAAAATGAAAAACATCACCATTTCAAAGAAGGGTGTCATAACATTACTGGAAAAGATCAATCCTAATAAAGCAAATGGTCCAGATCAAATTTGCGGAACAGTACTTAAAAAACTTAGTAGTGACATCTCAACTGCAATCACTTAGTTTATTTACATCTTTCAAAAATCACTCGATACAGGAAAAATCCCAGAAGATTGGAAAAATGCAAATGTCTGTCCTGTATTTAAAAAAGGAGATAAACACAATGCAATAAATTATAGACCCATATCACTCACATGCATACTATGTAAAATCATGGAACACATTATAGCCAGTAGTATGATGGACCACCTAGAAAATAACCGAATTTTGTACGACCTTCAACATGGATTCCGAGCATGAAGATCATGTGAAACCCAACCAGTATAATTCAACAATAACATCCAAACTAACATAATTGTGATAGACTTTGCCAAAGCATTTGACAAAGTACCCCCCAAAAGACTCCTCTGCACACTGAAATATTATTGCATTGAATACAAAACCTTTACATGGATAGAAGATTTCCTCACATCTCGCACACAAACAGTCATTATTGATGGTGTTCAATCAGACAAATAAAAAGTAACATCTGGTGTTCCCAAAGGAACAGTTTTGGACCCTATCCTGTTACTTGTGTATATTAAAGACTTTAATGAATACATCAAACACAGCACTCTAAGATTTTTGCAGATGACAGTATAATTTACATCACAATACGAAACAAAGAAGACACCCAAAAACTGCAAGAAGACCTTACATCAGCAGCAAGAGAGAAGGACTGGCTCATGTCATTCCATCCAGACAAGTGCTCAGTCCTTCAGATAACAACCAAGAAAAACCCATTAAGATTCTACTATACTCTTCCCAAACATGTACTGCAAAAAAAAATATCCACAAAATATCTTGGCATAACCATACAAACTGACCTAAAATGGAACTAACATGTAAATAACATCAAAGCTGCAGCCACACAAAAGCTGAACTTTATTAAGAGAAAATTAAAGGTAAATTCAAAAACAGTTGAGGAAAAATATAGCATTTGTAAGACCAAAGCTAGAATACAGCAGCTGCGTCTGGGACCCACATACCAAATCAAAACACACCAACTTGAGATGGTCCAGCGCAGAGCAGCTAGGTACACATGCAACAGATATCACAACACCAGCTCAGTCACTTAAATGCTGCAAACACTAAATTGAACAACTCTTGAGAAAAGACGAAGAAGAACACGCATCATCTTCTTCTACAAAATCATACACCATCTTGTAGCCATATATACCCGACAGATCTACTTACACAATCCGATACAAGAACAAGACAACATGCACACATTTATTCTTTCAGACCTATTCAAACCACTAAAGATTCATACAAATACTCATTTTACCCTAGAACAATATTACAATGGATTCTTCTACCGGTAGCTGCAGTACAATGTGCTACTCTCTCCTGTCTGTTTCCGAGAACAGATTCCAATATCTGTTCTCAACAAACATCTAAACATTTAAATAAATTCTACACTGTATATAGTTTTAACCAATATGTTTAATACAAAAACCGAAGAAAAAGAAATTACGTTGGAATTAATATTTGATTTTGTATATAATTCACTGTAAATAGAAATTAGATCCCACGAACGCACGGCATAGTAAAATAATTGCCCAGCACGATATCATCCGTATGTTGATGGAGTGCTGAACTACAAAGAAGGAGAAGAAGACATACTTTTGATAATCTTCTTATTAAACTCTTTACACTACACTTGCACATACACAATTGAATTTCAATGAACGTAATCTATGTAATAATTGTATATTTTTAGGTCAAGATTTTGTTACCACAAATTGCTTAAAACCTTTACTAAATTCTTCCATAGATACAAATATTTGGTTTGATAGTTAGGCTAAACCTATAGTTGTTAAATTCTATGTCATTTAACCTCTGGTGGAGAGTTGTCTTATTGGCATTCATACTACATTTTCTTATTTTTATATCATGATTTGGTACGACGTGTTGTTTCGACTTCATAAGAGTTATCAGTGCTTTCTATGCCTTACGGAATCAAAATTCCGTCTTTTGAATAATTCAACAGTTTTCCGAAAGTGGCATTTTCACTCAGTGTGGATTTTAATGGCGGGTGATGAAGTCATAGCAGGAGACGCTGACCAAATTGACGCACCGGATCTCATACGATTCCCATATTTTAGTTTGTTATCTTGATTTGTCTCTTCTTAATCGATATACGAGATTTGAACATCGATAAAAAATCACAAAAATACTGAACTCCGAGGAAAATTCAAAACGGAAAGTCCCTAATCAAATGGCAAAATCAAGAGCACAAACACATCAAACGAATGGACAACAACTGTCATATTCCCGACTTGGTACAGGTATTTTCGTATGTAGAAAATGATGGATTGAACCTGGTTTTATAGCGCTAAACCTCTCACTTGTATGACAGTCGCATCAAATTCTATTATATCGACAACGATGCGTGAATAAAACAAATAGACATAATAGGTAAAAATGTCAAAATAGGGGCACAGCAGTCAACACCGTGTCACAATCTTAATCCAAACAAAAACAAACAAATATTTAACAAAGAAGCACAAAAAAGCATAAATCACATTTAACATCCTCGTTCATTGCTTACTTATTTTTGTATTTTATTTATGTATGCCAAATCAACCCATAAAAGATCGAGGGATTTTAAGCACTGGGACCGAATCGTAATTTTAACACTAACTCTGGCGTAGAATGGCGTGTTTGATAAACTACAGTCGCCTTAATTTATAAACAGGAAATATCGGCAAATACCATTCAAGAACTGCTTAATGCCGTTATGTATGTTCATTATAAGAAATAGAAATAGAAAATGACAAAGATTGATGAAAGTTTTGTTAACCTTGTTTTGCATTGGACATCAATGCAAAGTTATTGTTGTCTGGGCTGTGTATTTATATTGTAATCCCGTCCATAATATGTTTACCATGCCTTGATTTGTATAACTAAGATGCATGCACGAACCCTTTCTCACATATGTAGAGGTTCTATAAACTCATCAAAGATACCAGGCTTGCAAATAACTATTCCAGCTCGTTTCATAAATCTTGATTGTTATATTTGAAATAGTTTAAAGGATGTAGTTAGGTGGAATTAAAAAAAAATTGATACTATAAGTCAGAAGAGCATTAGATAAGGACAGCATGAACAAAATAAGCTAAGAATATTGATAGGTTATGGAACTCCTTTTTGAAATATTTGATTTTGTTAAATTGCGGGAAAAGGCTGACTCGGACTTTTACCTTATATTTATCATTGACATTATTTGGGTCTCAAATCGTAAAAAAAAACAAACTAGAATCTGCTTAAACTGTGGTAGTTATCTTTTATCAGCTATTGAAGTCTTCTATGAAAAGAAAAAAAAAGGGTGTTATGGGGGAAAAATATTTTACCCTGTATCGTAGAAAGATCCCAAGGAGTCTGAACATCTGACAAAATGTATTCCTAAACCTGACCTGACTATATCCCTAAGAGCTTTCAACATCAGTAAAGTACTGATGACTTTAACTATGGATATCTAACAAAAAATGCGAAAGTAATCACAACACATACAAAAGACAACATATTCAAAGTTATTTTAAAAACCATTTTTAATTCAATATTTAATGTTTGACAAGTATTTTTCTTTCTTTTTGTTTATATAATTGATTTAGATTTCATGAAAGATAGCAAATTAGAATTATTACTCTCTTAAAAATATAAAAGGTACTTACTTTTTTCTGTGTAAGCATTCATCTATTTAAATACTTATTAGTAAATTTGAATTACCCTATCCTTGTGTATTCCTCCAGCATTGCTTGCGTTTACAATAAATACAAACGAGACTGCATGAGGCAGAAAATCCAATAGAAGGTTATCTAACTGTTCATTTTCGCCAATACCAGGTGTATCAACTATTATAACGTTTCCCTGAAGTGAATTAAATCTTGTAAAAATAACTGCCTTTCAATACCGAATGATGCTTTACAATTAAGTTTCTTTGACAATTGCAGTGCCGTTCATACTCTCATTTCGCATGTCTCTTTGACACATTCCCCATTTCCATTCTCAATTTTATCATTTCCTTAAGTTATCTAAAATTATCAACAATCTTATCATTGACAGTCGAGGTAATAACTACCGCTATTTTTATGTCAGAATATACATGTACAAATGAACACTAAATGTGTAACATTTTCCAGCTCATTGTATCTAGAAGTTTCAAACGGCACGTTATTGTAAAGCAGAACTAAACCTTCGAAATACACTTTAATTCATATGAAGATAACACTAGAAAATAATTTAAAACGTGCAAACGCCCATTCAAGATTTTGTTAAAAATGAATGTCCTTTCATATCAAACATGTTAAATGCTATAATGCATTAGTTATGCCCGATAGAAGTTTTGCTTTTGAACAGTGTGATAGAGAGATTACTTCATTTCGCTTATCAGCTTAAATATCTTTCCTCAATCTCATTGCAGACGTTCGGATTACTGCTCGGACTGATGTGACCATAACAAAATTTCTTTGTGTATTTGGAAGATGGTTTGTAATAATTTTCTTACTTTATCTTCGAATCACGATACAAGACAAGAGAGTCGTTAGACGCAAAGGGATATGAGACAATATCTGAAAATGTCTAATTTTTGCCAATAGGAAAAACAAAACAAAATGTCTTTAGAACCAGTATTTTAATAGCACAAATCAAAGAACACACATTGAGGATCCAGGAACTGTTGTCTGTAATTCAGACAAGTGTTAAATGTGGTAACAATGGCAATTTTAAAAATGGTACCAAAAATTACAGTTCTTTCCTGTTACCAAAGTGAATCAATTTTAAAAAGTTTTTAATGGGAATAAGGAATAAGTTAAAGATATTATTTGTGGTTTACTAGTATGTCCTGCAATATTTTATCAAATGCCAATTATTTATTTTAGCATTTACCATACAAAAGGTTAAGAAATATACTATATTATAGTCCGATATGTCGGTAACATGAAAGAATCTTGAGTAACAGAACAGAGTTGGTAACAGGATGGAATTACTTTTTCAAAACAATTGCTTTGTTTCATAGTTTAAGAAAAATACATCATTACAAATTGGTCACAATTAAAAGATAACAGCAAACAATGTAATTTATCTTTTGAAACTGTATTTGCAAGATGAAAATTTTTAAAATAAATTCCTTTCTGTTACCATCTACTATACTAAAATTGCACAATGTTCTCTGCTGTTATCAAAAGTAAAAAACCTGTCTTTTCATTCAATATACTGTATATTATGTTGAGATTTATTTAATATGATAACAATAACTTAAATTAAATGAAATCGTTGGCATATAGTAGATTACCTTTGTGATTCATCATTGCAATTGTCTTTAACATCCTTCCTGTTACCAATTATGGATATGCTGTTACTTTTTATCAGGTAACATGACAGAACGTAACAGAAAGTAATTATACAGTACTTTTTGTCCTTTTATTCGAATTGTGTGGAAGTTTACTTCCATCTACATATCAATTTAATAAGATACTATAAAAACACATTTACTGTTGTAGTGCTGACAATACCATATTCTCAGAAGGTACACAAAAAGGCTGTAACAGGAGAGAACAATAAAATTATTGTTCACTAAAAATTTTCATCTGTAGTGAGCTCGGATTTTTCGAACTGGCTGCCATTCAAACTATACATGTGGAGTCATACATTCAGGAAATGATGCTCTTCTCATTGCATTTTAAGAAATCAAATCGTGGTTTTTCAAACGTGTCTACAGGTGAAAAAACCCAGTGGTAACAGAAGGAAAATTACTCCTTGGGACAAAATTTAAAAGACCCTTAAAAATGTAAAATTTTATTACATGCTTTAGTTATAATAAAATCAGACCAGTAAGGGACAAGTTGTCTATATGAACTATCATATTTGTGAAAATCGGAAGCCTGTGTACTTAATTTGGAAATTCTTTGAATGATTTAGTTCAAAAAACAACACGGGACAACATGATTTTTGGGGGGTTGAACATTCAAATTATTATTATTCATAGGAAGAAATTTAAGAAAGAGTAATTAATTGGCAATAGTTGGTGCATTATAAACTCTATTTAATACTGAACTTAAAATTTTCCAAAAAATGGTTGAATAAAAAAATAATTGCTGGTGAAAGATGGAACATGGAAATTAGACTTTACAGATATTGTCTCATATTCATATCATAAGTCGAAAACAAACAGACAATGCCATGGCAAAAAACGAAAATCGACGAAAGGACAAACAGTACACAAAACACAACAAAGAAAACTAAAGACTGAGCAACATGAACCCGTCCAAAAACCAATAGTGTTTTATTCAACTGTGCACATATAGGAATTAATGGCATAGCAACCCAACATAAAAGAACATAAATAATCTATTGGTCAAATCATAGTTTTTAAGTAATGTTCTGAATACCAAAATGAAGGATAAATGTCAACGAGACATCAACCGGACACCATGAAAACTCTAAATATATAATATGCATGTATAAGTCAACATCAAGCGTAGATCTTCAGCACTGAAACGCTATATATATTGACCCTGGCAGGCTCCAAATCGCCTAGAGTTTGAAAATGATGTAATCACATTTTGGCCCTATCTTTACGGTTTTTGTTATTGCATTATTTACTAATAATATATTTGGTATCAAGTAAACATAAGAAGAGGTTCCAAGGAGCCTGAATAGCTCACTTTGCAAAAAGAATAAAACATTATAATCAGTAGGCAGTCATTGCTAATGTTAGCATAGTATCATAATTGCGCAGTAATTCGGTGATTTATTTTTAGCTTATCTATAATAAATCATATGTTGTTGAACATGCTTGCTATTAAAATGTATCCCTCACCAGGAAAAATCAATAACAAAGTAAACAAAATGATGAAGTGCAATGACTCCTGTAATGTGGTCGATTATCGATGTCAATTTTACCAGAATTTGTAATAAATGATCAATATGAAGGGTGCCTCAGATGAAACTATATGAACCTTCCGGAGCATCTGAGTTCATTCCAGTTTTTAGTGGGAAATGTTGCTCAGTCCTTAGTGACTATGTTTTGTTTTGTGGACTGTTTGTATTTTTGTCGTTTATCGTTTTTGCCATGGCATTGTCGGTTTTTGCTCAACTGATTGATTTAATGTTCCTATCGTATCTTTTGCCTCTCTTTTATGTTAATGTACGAGTCGACCGTCCAAAGTTTTGCGCCAAAAACACTAAAAAATGCGTAAACCATTTTATGGCTATTTTTCCAGTAAAGAACCTACTGAAGGTTTTTGAACGCATCTTCACAAGTTCTTTAATTTGACCTTCATAAATGTTTATGATGTCCTAACACTCAATTCTTCACATTTATATACGTGCTTGTATTTCATACAGTATGCATTTGAACTAGTTATCAAGTATACCACTTTGTAGGTCTGCTTCTTACATTTATATCTGCCTTGATATTGACACCTACGCGCATGCCTAATACTTTTCGAGTGTAAATAACCCATTACTGAGCAGAACATACTCTCTCGTCTTCATTCATGTATTTACGGTGTTCATCTATCGTTCGCCATGCCCGTGTCTGATGTGACGTTCTGGATTTCAAAGAACGTTATCTATGTATTACTGATAAATTATTCAGTCAGGGATTTCTTTACCACAAATAACTAAAATCTTTACTAAATTCCTCCATAGATATAAAAAATTGGTTTGGAAGTTTGGTTATAGAAAACTTATTTTTAACAGGAAAGCATATCCTAATTTTTACGGATATGTTGTTCACCGAGCCCGAAAATTTAGATACGATCCGGGTAAACTTATCGGTTCTCTTACTAAACTTTTTATAAAAGGTTACCAATTCAACACTAAAATTAGATCTTTGAATAATGTTTTTTTGGTATTAACATTGACTTTGTTATCAGTTAATTAAAATCACACTATATATTATTTATATACATATGCACATGCATCTACATTTTGTCGATACCTGTATTTTGTGATTGCACAAGTTCATGTTTTTGTCTTATTGTTAATGACGTTTTTACACTAAATCCATCGGATGTTGAATGTTTACTGATTGATATTTCAGTTTTGGATGCATGATTTTTCTTATTAGTTGTTCTTTGCTGAACAAGCTGTCAGTAACTGCGAGTAATCTCAGATCTGTACTTACAAAATGCGGTGTCTTTTTGTTGTGGGGATGTATAAGTACAATGCCACGTCCATCCTGTGTTTTTGTTAGATGTATTTCTGCTTATATCGATCTGATGAATGAAGCACTTTTCATCAGACTTTTATAGTTTCTTCTTATGTTGTGCTGTTACACCACTGTCCAATGTTAGGGGAGGGTTGGTGCGCCTTCAAACTAGTTTAAACTCGCCACATTTTGTATGGACCTTTTCCAAGTCAGGACCCTGTTATTCAGTGGTTGTCGTTTGTTGCTGTATATCATATTTGTTTTTCGTTCATCATTTTGTACCTTAATTAGGCCGTCAGTTTCCTTGTTTGAATTGTTAACATTCGGGCCTTTAATAGCGCTAGCTGACTATGCGGTAGTGGTTTTACTCATTGTTGAAGACCGTGTGGTGACCTACGGTTGTTAATTTCTGTGTCATTTTGGTCTCTTCTGGAGAGTTGTCTTATTGCTAATCATACAACGTCTTCTTATTTTTATATAAGCCACAAACACTGCTCAAATATAGTTATGAGTAGGAACGACTATAATCGTTACTTACTTATACATTTCAAAACCCCTTAGAGCATTGTATCGCATAAGGATCGAGAAATTGATACTACTTTAGTCATTATAAAGAATTGGTTGACTCATACATAAAAGTCTTTGTCTTAACTAACTATCGACATGTCTTCGAGGTATCAGATCTTTAGATGAAGAACAGTCGTTTGGTTTTTAAATTCACCAATTGTGGTGATTGATTGTGAAATTTTGTCGCCATGTGCATTCAAATGTCATATATGTAACGTTATTTTAATAACAATGGGGAAAGCAAAATTGTTAAAATCGTTGTTTAGAAGGAATAATAAAAAAAGTCATACTATTAAGCAAATAAACAATTTCGAGCATTTATCTGATTTGTTGATCACGTCTTGCTGATGATTATAATCGCTGTATATTCATAGCTTGTCTGTATACTAGTATGTGAATGAGACTTATCATCCAAATATTTCTATTTTTGTTTGTTATTTTTTTTTTATACATATATATTTTGCACTCTTCAAACTGTTATAAAAGTTAGTTATGTAACTTGGTTATTCCAAATTGAATGTGCACTTAAATTAAGATCATATTAATCTTTTTTCATTACTCGCCCATAACATATTACATTGTTATTACCTTCAATATAGGAACCGGAAGATAAACATCAATCATCTCTGGAGGATTGTTTTCAATGTCTGTGAATTGCTTAAGGAGTGATGCTAGTTCATCAAAATCAGCAGCAGCCTTCTCTTCAGTGGAGTGATCTTTCGAATGTATTTGAACCGATAATGATTCGGAATTGCGGATTCTACATATTGTTCCAGTAGCTGCAAGGTTATTAGTGAAAAAAATTTCTTTTCCAACAAGATGATTGATCAATGTAGTTTTTCCAGCACTTGTCTCGCCTTCAAAAAAAAATTAAACAAGATCGGAAAATAAAAACTTCCCAATGATTTATTTCAAGCACAGACAAAGTATATAGAATATTGAACCGAATGCTTCTTCAGAAAATATAAAAAATATGAAATTGTAATGTTCACTTCATATCTTGAACTTTTACCCAATATTGACACAGATGGACGAATCTAAAAAATTAACGTACGATGAACGTGAATATTTCAATTTTCCAATTGTCAACTTCGAGTTTGTCATCTGTCCCATCGTTTGGTATATGTCTATCTCAACTTAAGGTAAGGTTTGCATGATACCTGGAATTTTTTTGTGATATTATACCTTAATGATATATCATTTTGTTCAGTGAAAAGTACCTGATCATTTGATGAAAAAAACTTCGAATATCGCCCGTCCCGTTTTTTTTTTTTTTTTGAAAAGCTCAAAATTGCCATTTTTTACGTTTCTTTAGGGTACATTTTATTTGAACTCTTATTCATAAATAATGTTTGCAAGTGACAATAAAAAATTAAAACTGAATAAAACATGTATCCATTCCTTAATAATAAATTTTAATTAAAAAGTTCATAAAAAACGTACTAAAAAACAAGATTTTTTTTTTTTGGGGGGGGGAGGTTAAAATAACACCATTGCCATGGCAACAAAATTAAAAAAATATCCTATATCTGGGACCACCGTTTTTGTAAAAAAAAAACTGGAAACTTAAAGATTAAACTATTTTCATAATAATGAGCTTATAAAATTGATATGTCCCCGAACTCGTTTCCCTGACATGGGCGTTATATATTCATCATGTCATCTCTGTTAAACACAAAAATACGTTTTCACATTAAAAGTCATCTTTGATAGCATCTTTTTTTCAAGGAAACACTTATTTTCTTTCTGTGCTTCAAACTATAAAACATTTTGATTCTTAGGATAACATTCTTATTGCCATTAAAAGTAATACAAATTTCTTAATTGCCCCATGTTTGGTAAATTGTTTGTATTCAGTAATTGGATGAAAAGACATCAGGTTTGACTATAAAAGTAATGTACAGCAGCCGTGTTTATTCCATTCATTTCAATCTGGACACAAACAAATATTATAGAAATATTTATGACTAATCAGGAAAAAACCCTCCAGGAAAAAGATAGAGTACTGGTATGATTTGTTCAATTGTTACATTTTGTACACCATGTTCAGATTTGGTGTCTTTGACCAAACATACAAACAACTGATTTCTATAGTTCGTTCTTATGCTGTACTGTTACACCACTGTATGTATGTGCCTATCCCAAGTCAGGAGCCTGTAATGCAGTGGTTGTCGTTTGTTGCTGTGTTACATGTCCTGTACCATGTCAGGAAAATGGCCATTGTTATATTATAGTTCGTTTCTGCGTGCGTTACATTTTAATGTTGTGTTTCTGTTGTGTCGTAGTTCTCCTCTTATATTTGATGTGTTTTCCTCAGTTTTAGTTTGTAACCCGGATTTGTTTTTTTCTCAATCGATTTATGAATTTCGAACAGCGGTATACTACTGTTGCCTTTATTTACATATTTGATTTTTGTTCATTTTTTTGGCATATTAATTGTTAGTTTTCTCGTTTGCATTGTGTCATTTCGGGCCTTTTATAGCTGACTCTTCTGAATGGGCTTTGCTCATTGTTGACGGTTGTACGATGACCTATAGTTGTTAATTTCTGTGCCATTTGGTCTCTTGTGAAGAGTTGTCGCATTGACAATCATACCACATCATATTTTTATATGCATGCTCCTATACATGAGGTTAGGCGAAACAGAAGATGGCCAGGGAACACAAATGACCAGCTGTATATGTCTTGTTCTTATACAAAAAAAATGTAATTTGGTTATGAAATATGAAAATCTTTCACATTTTTTAATAAAATAAAATCAGTTCAATGAAGTTCAGTTAAGGAATAACAGTACTGTAGTTGAAGAGTTGCCACCTTCAATTGGCGATTTGATGGTTGCAAATGCAGTTTTACTGGCGACGCGAAGCGGAGACAGTAAAACGGAAATTTTCGGACGTCAAATCAAACTTAACGGTGGCAACTCTTCAACTACAGTATTGTTATTCCGATTATAATGCATCATAAAAAGAAATAATACGTAAGAGCTTGACAAAATGTATAAATTTGAAATAAAATCAAATTCCGAAAATCATGAAACTTCATGAATGATTTTGGCGCAAAGATGTCATGACTAAACATCACGTCATACAAACGAAAATTTACAAACTGAAGGTTATAACGTTACTGCTACGATTCAACTTTGGATAAAATCACATCAAAACGGCGATTTTGAGGTAGGTGTTGTTTTATTTTTGATAATATTGTTGTAATTAAACATTTGTTGATCCAAGCATTTCAAAATGGCGGGTCCCTCCTTAGTTTGAATTAGTTGAATTCGAGTTACCTCCCTGTGTACATGGTGTACGCAAAGATTACCTTAACTTTTCGCACTATATGCACTTCTTTAATACGGGTGTCCTCCTTACACAAAAGCTACACGAACAGAGTTATGTGGAGGAACGACTTAAATCGACATTAAATAAGTTAACGGTCATTTTCACATTTGGTGGCTCATATGAAATGTCTGTTTCTCAGCTCCATAGTTATATGTTTTGACTGTCAAGAATAGTTATATCGTCTGTAAAATTACTGATTGTGATATTTTGAATGAGCATGGATTGCCTAACGGGCAAAGTATGTATAAGCAGGCACGATGACCCATTCGACGTTTGTTTTTAACCTTGACTTGAATTGTCTTGACTTGAATTGTCTAAATGAATTTGAACACCAGTAAACTACGCTTCTATTGCCTAATGTATACGGCAATCCCAAAAAGCTTAAGAATAACATTTACTCACTAACATATTATATTTGTACATGTAACTTCCACAACAGAAAACATTCCTCAATATTTATTTTATTATTTACAGGTGGTTATGCTAGCTGGTGACGCGTCGAAGCAACTGATATAGCTTCTTTCGATTACGATTCGTTATCTTAGTCTTTTGTATCTTGATTTGTTTAAAAAAAAAAAGTTACATAGCTCAGTATAACCACTAGGTATGCAACACAATATAATGTATATGAATTATCAAAATTTCAGTATTTATAATAAAATTATATGTTATTCAAAATTTACAATGAAAAAAATGTTTTTGCATTAATTTGCTTGTTTAACGTTAAAACTGAATTTCTGTTACAAAATCATCATTCTGGTAAATAGCTATTTGTGATTGGATTTCGGGAAAATTACTATAATTGAGCTGCGTCGGATAGAAATCGACCTTACGCAAGTGCACGTTTACATATACATGTATAAGACTTTGGTTGATTTCGAACCATACAAATCCGGAATAAAAGATGAATTCGGGTATGATTTTTAGGGTTCTTATACCAACTCAATTTTCATACAGTTACAGACTAAGTTTGCATAAAAAAAATATCAACCCGAAATAAGTAAATAGATGTATTGCTAATCATTTGCATAAGGTTGATTTCTATCCGACGCAGCTCATATATAGGTATAAAAAGCTATTCGAGATTGTTTCCAGGTGTCAAATTTGTTTTGTGTTTGTTTGTATTTAAAGAAGGGCATACAATTAATTGTTGGAAAAACTTTTTTTTTGTGTCAAAATTTTAGATTTAAAAAAAAGGTCGTCTTATCCTAGGATATCAACAGAAAATGAGATAAGGTGTAATAAATTATTTCAGAGTGATCGAAAGTACCAAAAATTATAAAAGAGTGGTATAAAGAACCTTTTTGTTAAAAACTTCTTAATTGTGAGAATTGGTTTTAGAGAAAATTGGTAAACGTTGGAGAAACGTCTTTTTGTGTTTATATAAAGATATAGATATAACTGTATGACAAATCATTCCCTTGTGCAAAAATTTTGAAAACACTCAGTGTTTGTTAAGAGATGGTAAACTTTAATAAATCTCATTATTTTGTTAGGATTTCAATAAAAAAAAAAACATTTTGATTACTCATGATCAGCAGATAGTGTTACGATACAAAAAATATGTAAAAATAATTGTGTTTTTATATACATGTATGTAGTCAACGCATCCATTTAACACCAAACATATGTAATTTGATGATTTGAAATACACTCGTATGTAAAATATACTTATATTTGTATTACAGGTCTACAAACAAGATCATCGAACATCACCAATGTAAAATATATTCTCTTTTCTCAATACTTAGTCTTTACTGGAGGTGTACAACAAAACTACTCAATTTTTGTATTTTCTTCTGATGTATATACTAAAAGTGAAGTTATCACTAACATAGATTTATGTCGCAGTCGTAAGCCAGGAACCTCGTCAGTATGTCATATACCAATGTTTTATTTAATATGATTTTTTATTTGGAGTATTCAGTTGCCTTTTAGTTTACTAATCGCTCGCAAATATATGACATTTAATTGAAATGACTTTCATAGATACATAATGCATGGCACCTTTACTATGAGATAGCGAACTAGTAACATAAAAAACCAAAAGACAAGTACATGCCATATTTACAGGGCAGTATCAAAAACTTCTTATCATATTTTCTTTTAAACTATTTTTGCACGTTGACGTATCAGTTTCTTAATGTTACAATACATGAAATGTGTAAGGCAAATATTATGAAATGTTTTTTTATTGATGAAAATAAGACATGTGATTATACAGCCGTGATACGAATGTTTGAGAAAGGTCCATAAAACGGATATTTTAGAAGGTCTAGTAATACGGGATATCTGTTTTACGGACGTGGTACTATTTATCCGTAAAATATTCGTGATACGTCTGTAGCTTTATCACCGGATTACAAAAGACTCATAAGTGACGCTCGATTCCTAAATATTTAAGGCCAAATAAAGTACGAAGTTGAAGAGCATTGATGGCCAACAACTCCGAAATGTATTCGATATACATATAAGGTAATCCATTTCTGGAGTAGAAAATCCTTATTATTTCGAACAATTCAAGGTTTTTTAAACATTGATGAGATTTCTTTTTAGCATGTTTTATATAAACTATCAGTTTTTAGAATTTCCAATGGTGAATACAATTTATCGCAGAAATACTGCAAATAAGAATGACGTATTAAATGATAAAAGTGCTATCATTCTAACCTGGAAATAGAATAGTAAAAGTTTAGAGGCACACTAAAACATCAAGCTACTGATGATTAAATGCACTTGTATTTGCTATATTCGCAATCATATCATTTTTATAAATTCATGCTACGTACACATACCTGCAATAAGGATACCACAGTCATTTCTAAGCAAATCACGTTTATATGTCTGCAAAACGTTCGTATAGTTGGGGCAAGCTGTAGATAATTCTTCTTGAAAATCCTTATTAAACTCTTTGTTACTCAATAGTTGCTCCAAAAGTTCAATAATAAAACGTAGTTTTTCCACAGCTTTTTCCGGTGAAATCTTTTGACTAAAACATTAACATTGGGATATAATCATTCCGATTGTTATTCAATTAAGATAATTTGTACCCTGCCGTTAGGCCATTTAAGAAATGGATACCCGTAATTATGTACTTACTTTACATGTTGCAGAAGTGTATTTCTATTGAATATGTTTTGATGAACTAATAAAAAGTAAAATAACAAAAAACTCCAAATAAAATTCAAAACGGAGAGTCCTTGTTCAAATAGCAAAATCAATAGCTCAAACACATCAAACGAATAGAAAACAACTTTCATATTCCTGACTTTGTACAGGCATTTCCTTATGTAGAAAATGGTGGATTAAACCTGGTTTTATAGCTAGCTAAACCTCTCACTTGTATGACAGTCGCATACAATTCTATTATGATGACCACAACGCTGAGCAAAACAAACATACATTATAGTAAAAAATGTCAAAAATTTGGGTACAACAGTCAACATTGTGTTATAATCTTGATCACTATCAATACAAATAACTATTTCAACAAAGACAAACAAAATGATATTTAGATACTCTATAGACAAAAGACATTTGTTGTCGAAATGCCCACCTGGTGCAACGAAACTCGTACATTGCATGTTAATACTACTACTGGGTTCATACCATTGCTAGCTGACTTCTTACGGTGTGTATATTTCACAACTTGTTCACTATACCTGTGATTGCAGTTGCGTTTTTGATTTTAATAAACATAATTTATGAATAAATGATAAGTTATTGAATAAGTCAGGAAAACAAACTTCACTTTATTCATTCATAGATACAAAGATTTGGTTAGGAAGTTATCTGTATATGTAGAGTTCTTATTCAAAACGGTATTCATGTAGCACATCTTATTCTGCATAGCGATATTGTTTATAAAGCTCGTAAATTTTGAAACGATCTATTAATCTAATTGATCCTTTGAATAAACTTATTCTGTTATGGATACCCCCTTTGGTTTGGATTTTATATGTGTGATTAAAGATAGTGTTTTCTACAAAAACATATCCAAGTTGTCGGAGAATTTTTTTCTGAATCAATTTATAGGTCTCCAAAGATGAAAAGCGAAGTGAGGGTTGGGCAATCAGCAGTTAAATAATATATCTTCTTATTGGAAGCATTTGTAAAAAAAAAAAATATGAGACACAGTTTTATAGCTTGTGTATGGTTAATTAAAGGAATGAAAACAATTTTGTACTACCATTTAACCTGAATTTTCTATTTTCATCCAAGTTGAGAGAGCACTTTTTTCCGGTCACTGAGCTTTATTTTCTTATTGATCATATCAAAATAAAAATTATCTTAAGATGAAGAAAGACAAATATTTCAGTTTTAAAGTTATTTAAAGATTTGAAAAATCCATTGAGTAGTTTTTGAAAATTATATATCACTTAAGACTATTGGTTGGAGTCAGAAAAGTTTGAGTTTAATGCTACCCTCATAATCTTCATATTCGATAAACAACTTTTGATTTTTCTACTCTTTTCACTATTTCTCCATTCCTATTCAAAATATATTGTAAAAGACTACCGGGGATCGCTTACATGGCAGTGTGAACCTCCTGATCTTTCAATGTATGAAAAACTGGGGTTACAATTAGGCAAAGCTTAGATATAAATACAATTAAAACAATATCACTGAACATTTTCATTACGCGGAACCCGGCACTTAATGTGACACTAAACTAACAAAAATCAACAAATATCGAAGGATAAGAACGACTACGTTGAATAGACCTACTTAATCTTTCCATTGTCATCAAATTCCTCTTTATGTCATTTGTATCTATATGCTAGCTCTGCTTAATTTTATAAAGATTGAAAGATCAAGAAAGTCTAGTCAATGCCATAGGCCATTTTCCTAAATATATCTTAAATATCAAGTCAATTGAAAAGCTTTTTTTGGTTTTCCATATATATGCCTTTATAAATATGTAGTGGTCTAGAGCGATGGACACAGTGCAGGGGTGTTGTCTCGATATCCCAATAGCATGAGTTCGAATCCAGGCAAAGGAAGAACAAAAATTCGTTGCCGCAAATTTGCAGATTTAACACTGTTGTGCTGATATTTAGAGTAGTCTTGTATATTAATATATATATATATATATATATATATATATATATATATATAGAAGTCTATAAAAAGGACCAACCAGCAAATTTACTATGTACCGGATCGTCTAAAATAGACGATACTGTGCAGATAAGGAAATAATTATATAAGTCTAGAGATTTGCACAACGATACTAATAAGATGGTATTATACGAAGATGTTGTTATTAAATCGTGTTGACAAATATTTCGGCTTAACAAATAGCCTTCTTCAGTGTCAACGATTTTAACAATACTCAATATATATGACGAGGAAAGGCATTACTCGACTAACGAAAGCTGTATTTTTATATAGCCTAGTTGGTCGAGTGGTCTAGGGCGCTGGACAAAGTGCAGTCAGAAGCAAGGGTTCAAATCCGGAGGGAATAACAAAAATTTGTGAACGCAAATTTACAGATCTAACATTTTTTGATATATTTGAGACGAATTATATATATATCATGGTGTTAGGTCAGTATAACACGGGTTATCCGATGGAGAATATCTGTCATAAAGTTATCACATGTTTAGACGTATATATATATATATATATATATATATATATATATATACAAGTCTAAATTGAAAACAACGTTCAAACCTATGATTGCGTTGGATAAAAACCGCAATTTTTTATACGTGTGCATGCAAAACAGATTTCTTGGTAGAGGGGTCTAAATACAGCACAAACAACATTTTCCAAAAGACCAAAAAAGTGAAAAAGTATATTTTAAGAAAACGCATTTGACAAACAGGTCGAACAACTGACGTTTTTAAACCCTGCTGACTGCCATTTGCGATTGCCAAATAAAGATATCACTAGATGTTACAAATGGATCTTAATTATTAATTTAATACCAAACAGAAAACAACAAATTTGCGGAAAAGATGGTATACCGCAAACATGAGGTGCAAAATTTAGTATATATCATAATAAAAATAAAAATTATAATTTGATGTGATGGCAAGGTAATTACATTATCATCCTTTACGACGGACAAAACATAGCTGATCTTAAAGATATACCATCCTATTTGCCATTATACATGTATGTATATCATGTACTGTGTTACAGCTCTATATAAATCCGACGAGGAAAGGCATTAATCGACTAACGAAAGCTGTATTTGTATATAGCCTAGTTGGTCTAGTGGTCTAGAGCACTGGACACAGTGTAGCTGGAGTTGACACGATGTCTCAGAAGCAAGGGTTCGAATCCCGCTGAGAAGAAAACAAAAATTTGCGATCGCAAATTTGCAGAACTAACATTGTGGGATAAATTTGAGACGAATTCTATATATTAGCTCAGTATAACTATGGGTTATCCGATGGAGAATATCTGTCATAAAGTGAGCAAATGTTAAGATGCATTACATATACCCCTCTACCAAGAAATTTGTTCTGCATGCACACGTATAAAAATTGCGGTTTTTATCCAACGCAATCATTGGTTTGAACGTAGTTTTCAATTTAGACTTGTTTATATATATACTATATATACAAGTCTAAATTCAAAACAACGTTCAAACCTATGATTGCGTTGGATAAAAACCGCATTTTTATACGTGTGCATGCAAAACAACTTTTTTGTAAGAGGGGTCTAAATACAGCACAAACAACATTTTCCAAAAGACCAAAAAAGTGAAAAAGTATATTTTAAGAAAACGCATTTGACTAACAGTTCGAACAACTGACGTTTTTAAACCCTGCTGACTGCCATTTGCGATTGCCAAATAAAGATACACTAGATGTTACAAATGGATCTTAATTATTAATTTAATACCAAACAGAAAACAACAAAATTACGTGTGCATGCAAAACAACTTTTTTGTAAGAGGGGTCTAAATACAGCACAAACAACATTTTCCAAAAGACCAAAAAAGTGAAAAAATATATTTTAACAAAACGCATTTGACTAAAATATATATATATATTTGTATTTTCACATGTTACTAGAATGTATGGTTGTTTTTGTAAATTGAGATATCATGTTTTAGAATAACATCTTTGGTTACATTTTGTTGATAAAAATCTGTTATTCATAAAGTGAAAATTTTTATTTACGTAAGGGTGCATCATGTTTATATTCGAAAACATCAAAACTTCACGATAACTTGTAGGGGTCACAAAACGATTTCATGCATCTAGTGTTGCTCCTTTCAACTACAACTATAAACTTTATTATCGAATGCTCAAATTTATAATACTGTGTGCGTGACAGTACTTTTGACAGAGAAACAATGAACATTAAACCAGCTAGCAGTAGATTGGACATTTAATATTGAATAACGAATAAATATCAAGCAACTAACTTCACATACATCATCTTTTACAACATTATACAAATACGAAAAGTACCGAATTCACATTCACATTCATATGTCGTTAACAGTTAGGAATACGGTATCAATAACAAAGATTTTTTTTATTGATTACCAACCTTTCATTTCGACATTCTTTCCTCATGTCTGTTATAGGAAAATATCTGACTGAAAATTAGAAACAAAATACATTGTTTTGCTACTATTACGACGAAAGCTAAATGTAACACTTCAACAAATTGTTTGATAGTAATTTTTTTTTCGATTTGATATCAATACACATGTACGACATTCTTAACAATTTTGTGTTGCAGATTACAAAGGATTCTTTTATCCGCGATAGTGACAGAAAAAAATGTTGCTTGATATGAATAATAAAACGAATATTCTTCTAAGAATTTCAAATAAATTCAAATGAAATGATTTTGAACGAAAAAGATATGTATGTTATATGTAAAAAAAATCTTGTTTCCCTACTTAGCAATTTATTATAAGCAGTAACATTGTATATCAAATTCTTTTGTAAAGTGAGATGTTTTTGTTCGATTGGCAAACATTGCATAACCTCATTTTGAAATATGATTTTGAAATAAAGTTACAATCATACAAGTATAAGAACTTTGATGATTAAAATATTTCCTTAATTCAACCACTTGATATGTTTATTTGGATTTTTCAAATAAGCCTTTTGGCTTGTAAAGTTATTAATAATGACATAAACACTCTAATCAAATACTTACATTCCATCACCGCCATAATCGCCAAAAGTATAATAGCTAGAAAAAACAAACCGTATATTTATACATGTCTATTACCCAGCATATCCTTTTGATCCCATATTAATATTGTGATGAATATTGTTTTTAATACATTTACCATGCATCGTATGTACATTAAATCCGGGGTCCGAAATTGATCTTTATCCGGAATTGGTATACGGTCAGATTAAAACACGATAAATGTGCTTTCCTAATTCATTAATATATGTTGGTATAGTTAAAAACTTATTGATACAGTCTTTCTGATTAAGACTATTATTTGGGAGAGTCCAAAATTTAGTTTATAAAGCCATGCTTGTAGTGATTATGTTAGTCGGATGTCGAAAGTTAAGCTAAAGACACACAAAGAAATAGAGGTGAGAATCAATTGTTTACAATAACTCTTAAGAAGAATTAGGAAGCATCGTTCCTGTAAGCAACAATTATTTAAAAAAAAAGTAGCTGCTGAAGAAACAGTGGCATCCGAGTCAAGACATGGCTGTATCATAAAGCTTTGGCTGAAGTATAAAGCGTCGTCTTTAGCTTGAAGCAATGGGCTTATTTAAGAGCATTGGTTTAAGTTGGAGCTTTGACACTTTTTAAAGAGCAATTAAGAGCATTTGTTTTAAACAGCAATTAAGAGCATCGGCTTTAAACAGCAATAAAAAATTTGGTTTTAAAGAGCAACTGTAAGAAAAGCAGTAAACCAGATAAAAAAACAGAGAAATAAGACATCTTCCTTGCATCGATCACCAACTGTTTTAACCGTGACTAATTTATTTGAGGACCAGAAGCCATTAAGCCCTTGGTGTCCGTCGTTCTTCATAGGGTGACCGAACCACTTACCTATTCGATTCTAAAACGCTACCAATTAGTTAGCCCTTGTGATACTCGGAGAAATAACTCTGATACGTACTCCGAAGAGTACCTACTCCGTACCCAAGGTATTTTTATACCCAATTTTCAATAATTACTTCCAATTGTCAAAAAGATATTTTCTGCTCACCCAAGGAAACTCTGAATAACGACCAAGACAATTGCTTACTTATAACACTATTCAGAACTGTTAGAATGATGTGTCATGGGACTGCTCTAAACTGTTCTAGAACGGTCGAAAAATAGAACCTCAATGATTGCACCTTTCTAAATAACATTGAAATGATTGAATAGAGCTGATTTTTTGTATATATTATATGATTTGAGTTTTAGTCGACGAAGAATTTAGGAAGTAAACTTGACATCTTAAATATGATAATAATTATTTTCAAAAATGAACCAAGTTAAATGATGAAGTAAAAACGAAATCTTAATACATTTATAGAACATGTTTAACTTAAACGATAAAATTCAAAATAAATAATACATAAATATATCAAAATGGATAAATAAGTACATAACAATCATGAATGTAGCTGTTTTCTTTTGTCTGCTAGTGTTAATAACAGCTCATTTATTAGCACTCATGTATATGTCTCAATATCAAAGACATATTCTGTACATTAGCTTCAAAAAATGTTAAAATCATTTCACAAAATGTGTTTTCCTACCCTAGACAGAAATTGCTGTTAGTTGTTTTTGTCACTACATTTTACGAATTATCCTAAACTGCGTTTTTGGTTTTGATACGAGAGCTAATAATGACAAAACGCGTCTCTGAATTATTTCTTTTTATATGCCTGTTATTTTTTTTATCACGTATCAAATTAAGGCAATACCAGTTGTTGTTCAAATCTCATAAATTGATTAAGAAGATACAAATAAAAGTTACCGAACAAACATCCGAATGAATTGTATAAACTCCGAAAAAATCGAAATCGGGTACGACGTCATGGAAATTGTCTCCTTCTATTCATGCATCAACCGACATGTCAATCCATAATAAGTCAAAATTTGAAATCGGGAATGGAATACAGTCGGTAAAAATTAAAAAAAAAACCATTTCACTGGTTTTCAAAGATAAGAAATATTAACTTCAGTGCTATAAAATTGACTTTATACAGAAACGTGAACTTAAAAAAACAAACCGTCAATTCGATGTTCATTTAATGTCCATTTTGAAAGGTAGTTTTATTAAGATAAACAAACACTTCGACAAGAAGATGAATGCATGTGAATACATTTTCGAAACTTTTATCATTACCCCATACAGTCGCTAACTGTATAAAGATATAAGACATGTCATTAGTTAGCTGAGACCCAGAAACATAGAATCGGTCAACCAATTTGAGATGGTCTGCGTAAAAATTATATAGTGTAGTTTTCAGTCGTTCTTCCACATGAATTTGTCTGAACGGTTTTTAAGCAAGGAGCACCCCCTGTTAATCCTACCTAAGGTTAAAAAATGTTATTGTTATTACATGTAATAAATTATACTATAAAAAGTAATACATAGTTATGTGTAATTTCGCATATTTGCAATTTCATGTCACAATTTTTTTTTAATTAGTTGTTACTGCCTTTGAACTAGCTATCAGTAACTGCGAGTACTCTCAGATCTGTTTTTTTTTTTTTTTGTCTTTTTTGTTGGGAGGGATGTATATATTCCCTTCCATGTCCGGTCTGTGTTTTTGATACATGATTTTCTTCTTTGTATCGATCTGATGAGTTAAGTCCTTTTCAACGGAATTGTATTGTTTGTTTTTATGTTGTATCGTTACACCAAAGTCCCAGGCTAGGGTAGGGATGGCGCCTTTAAACATGTTTAACCACGCCTCATTCTATATGGATCGTTCCCAAGTAAGAAGCCTGTAATTAAGTGGTTGTCGTTTATTGCTGTTTCTCATATTTGTTTTTCGTTTATTTTTATTTTTTTCGTTTTTTCTTGTGTTTTGCTGTTTCACTACAGTCCCAGGTTAGGGGAAGGGTTGGCTCCATCAAACATCTTAACCCCGTCACATTCTGTATCTGCCTGTCCGAAATCAGGAGTCTGTAATTCAGTGGTTGTCGTTTTATGGCTGTTGCTCATATTTGTTTTTCGTTTATTGCTATCAACTGGGAGACATCTACTTTATATTCAGGCACTGCTTGAAATTAGAAGTATTGTATCTTTTGACGTAAAGTGTTTTTTACCAACGACTCTCATTGTCAATTCTAGATGTAAATTAAGATATGAGGCACCAATGTCAAGTATGATAGGAAAGATGCGTTAAATATAGTCACCAAATCTTAAATTACTTAGTAAGAGAATATTATCTATATAGCGGAACGTGAAGTTAAAAGAAACTGCTAGATTCTAACCATTCTTCCAGGGGAAGCTCATGAATGAAATCTTTCTTATAGAAAAGAGAGAAAATGGAGAAAGAGGAATATAGTTTGGTTCTCAAATATTTATTTTTTTTAAGTTGAAAAACGTGTCCTTCAAACGAATTAAATATGTTTCAAACTACATTTGAATCAGAGAAGCTTCTTAAGTATTATTACTTCCCTCCTAAAAAGAGTTATTTGTATCTGCGTAAGCCATTCTTTCTTTTATCAATCAAATTTTACGATTGTTTCATCTTTCTTTTTGTTTAGAATAAGGAACATGTGTGTAATGGGTTATCGTTGTGTTGTGGATATTTCAGTGCGTCTACTACATGTAAGTAACTGGTATTTCGCACCACTTTTAAAACGAATCAGATTTATTACACCTGGTCGTACTTTACGAATTTGTATTTCGGTCGAATACGCTTCCCTAGCGTTTGCTCTTACACTGTGTAAGTGAATGTTTTATGCTATTGCAATTTTAAGAGACTTAGGTTATATGTACTCGACATGACCTATTTTTATAGTTCAAACCGCCACTGGAGTAACAATTTTCAAAGTTACTCAAAAGTATTACTTTCTTAATTGCTGATAAAAATATATGTGCCTAAATTGGGTAAAAGTTTTGTGGACGTTTGGTTGGTGACCCGGCTATAACACGTTGATTGTAAGGACACTTACGTAACGTTGGTTGCCAGTACAGCGGAGGAAGATCTTGTTCTTAATCTGAGGTAGACAATCCAAGGGGACATTGATCAAACCTATGATTGTTTAAGATTTCTTCTTTGATAATTGTGGTGAGAATTTCCAAGAGAATTGTCAATATATAATTCTTATATCGATAAGTTGATGTAATGTAATTTACAAACTAAAACGATGTTGTTTGGGCATTGATTGCGTCGAAACAAATTATATGCATCGAGATCGGACATGTTTTTGGATCATTTGGATTTTGAAGCTATAGATATGCAGACTTTCTAAAATTCAAACTGATCACACGAATGATACACGTATGGACGATACACGTTCGTTAAATGGACAGCGAATGGACCATGAATGCACGTTGAATGATGCGCTCACGATGAGCGTTGAGCGTTACCCGGAGGATTAACGCATAATGAGTGATGAGCGTTACACGGACGTTGAATGCACGATGAGTGATGAGCGTTACACAGACGATAAATACACGATGAGTGATAAGCGTTAGGAAGACGATGATCGCAAGATACATAAACAGTGATTGATTAGTATACAAAAACTAGAATGTGAATATAGAATCAAACTATTTTTTGATCTTTTTGGGTTTTTTTTCGGTAAATATATGATTTTATTGACTGTTGGCCTCGGTAAATATCAGTTTTCAAAAATCAATAATTTATACTTATTGATTGGGTATGAGTGGAATAGTAAGTTTATTGCCCCCCGAGGTGCAACTATTTTCCTGAGGCGTAGCCGAGGGCAATACTTGTTTCCGAGGGGACAATAAACTTTCTATTCCAAGAATATCCAGTCAGTAAGTGTTTTATTTTACCGAAAGAGACAACAGACAAAAAATGTCGGGGCTTCATCGACTATCGTAGTATAAAAAACAGAGACACAACCATACTGTTTTATGTTTACTTCATATATATTCTGAATCCTAAGGCTACGTCCCGCACTGACATCAACCCTAGATATAATAGGTTTTCAACGCGACGTCGTAACTTGCGCGGTATTTTCAACATACTCCAATCCCGTAGCTGCAGTTGAAATTCCGTGAAATATAATGACGCTTG